AAAATACAGACTAAAGCTTATTTTTTCCAGGGGTATATATTTATTGAAATTATTTTTTAGCCATTAAATACAAATTTAACATCGGATGAAGAAGATCATGTATCACATATACTTGATACAATTACTGAAAAAGTACATAAACGTCGTTTAGTTCTTTTTCCATTTTTTAAACCATATGATCGAGTAAATTTTCTTTAATTTCAAAATAAAAAAATTCAAATTCATATATATTTTTGTTTTGTTTTGAAATAGAGTAAAGCTTTTACACGTGCTTGTACAAAACATCAATTTGGACGTGTACTTCGAACACTTGATTTAATTCCATCACCTTATGATTTCAATATACTTTGTAAAAAATTTGAAGATCGTGAAACAGGAGATATTAATTATGTTTTATTTTGTCAAATGATTGAACAAGGTATAAGAAGAAAGATATAAAAGGGGGGGTGGGGGAAATTATTTTTGTTTTTTGAATAGATTTTGTGGCGATTAAAATTGAATCAGAACAACAATTTCCATTTGAACGTGCTCGAATTGATGAAGAACAAAAACGAGAAAAATTCAAAGTTAATATTGATACATCCAATGTTAATCTAAATGATTTAATCGGTCGTATTCGACATCATGTTCTTATTAATCGAATTCGCGTATATGAAAAACAAAAACAATTCATTAATGATGAATTTATTTGACATTTTTTTTGTTTTCTTTATATAGGTAAAAGAATTTTTTGAAGATTTTGATCCTCTTCGTTTGGGTACAATAAGTCAATCACGATTTATTCGTGTTTTGGCTAGTTTAGGTCTTACTGGTCTTGATGGAGTTCCATTAACTGAAGCACAAATGTTTGCTTTATGTGATCATTATCGTCATCCAGATCAACATGATCTTATTGTATGGAAACAATTCGAACAAGATATTGAATCAGGTTTCTTAAAATCATTATATTATTAAATAAATATATTCTTGTTTTTAATTAAACAGTTTTTACATTATCTGATTTGGAAAAATCACCAACTATTCAAGTTTCATCACAAACTATTTATGAAATGCCAACAACTGGTACACCTAATTGGTCTAATATTGATCCATTTAATAAAGAAGAATTACATCAAACTATGCAAAATTGGAAAACAAAATGTGAACAACGACGTATTGATATTGTTCGACCATTTAAACAATTTGACAAGTACATTTAAATAAAAAATTCAAATTAATATAAAAGAGAATCTCACTAAAAATATTCGTTATTTTAAATACGAAATTTTATCAAAAATATTTCATTATGTACCTTCGAACTGAACAAAAACCTCTGGTGAATCGTTCGGTATAATATGTGATACGCCGGCAGTGGTGTGATATTTAAGAGGGTAATCAGGAAACTATCGAGTATACAAGCACTCTATTAAATTTTTTTTTGTGCATCCCAACATTTTACCACTATCATACCCTGTAAAAGCTGTGATTGTTTTCATTTCAATAAATCATTCAAATTTTTTATAAATTATACTAAGACAGAGAATTGAAAACTGAATAAAACGAACTACTACAATATAACAGAGCGTTGATCGATTCAAATTTTATAAGACGAACATGAATGAAAAATGGGTTTTTTTCGATAAGCTTAAAAGATCCGTTTGATAATAATGTATTCCCTAGACTGAAAGATTAGGATCTAAAAACCGTAATTCACCTGTGTCTGTCTGTCTGTAACAAGTTCTTGACACAATTGATCATTCTTATGGCATAAATGATCATAAAAATACAATCATTTGCTTGTCATCATTCCGTCAGTTTAGGGCCCATTGAATCGACCTTCAATGTCGATGAACATTACTTATCTCCTATTGGGATTCAAAATCAGAGAGCTCTGAGTTGAATTTTCTATATATTATGCAAGTTTTTATTCTCTACAAAATGGAATTGACATCTCTCTCTTACATTATATTTTTTAATAGTAAACATTTTTTAGCAGTTTTCATTGCCATGACACAATTGTAAAACAAAATAAACATAATACTCGGAGTTAGCGTCAAAAATTGCAATATAATGTTCAGTGTCTGCCTGTGCCGAGCCAAAGGTTAAAGATCAAAAAGGCTACAAGGGGGAGGCTATAAAGGGTAAGGTTATAAGGTGGTAAGGTTATAAGGTGGTAAGGTTATAAGGTGGTAAGGCAATAAGGGATAAAGCTATAAGGGAGGAAGAGTAAGGGGGAACGCTATAAGAGGGTAAGGCTGTAAGAAGTTAAGACTATAAGGGATAAGGATATCACACAGCAGGGCTTCTGTGTACATAATGTCGAGTGTCTCTGTGTGTTACCAAGTGAAAGGTTTGAGGTCGTAAGATAAAAAAAAAACTGTCGTGCAGTATGCTGCATGGGTTCTTGCTAGTAACATCTATACCATCTAGTAGAGGAAGTCTTCCTTTACCAACCTACGCATATCCCGTTCTTTAGTCAAGATCTTATAATCGCCTTTGAGTCGATCAACACTCTATTATATTGAAATAGCTCATTTTGTTCAGTTTTCAATTTTTTATCTCTTAGTATAATTTACAAAAAATTTGAAAGATATGTTGAAACGAAAATAATGACAACTTTTACAGGATGTTGGTGTAGGTTTTTTTGGACCCGAACCAAACCGATCAAAGTTGTTGGATTCGAACCTAATTGATTAATCTTTTGTGGTTAGAGTCTATCGAGTCCAAGAGTTCCTAGACTCGGATCCGATGGACTCCACCACAGATAGTGCGAATAAATGTGCGATATATATTTGATTAATAAAATCTTTTTAGACATAATCGTGGACATGTAACACGAGTACAATTTCGTCAATGTTTGGCAATAGCTGGTTTAAACTATACAGAAAAAGACTTAGAAGCTGTTGAAGCAGCTTTTATTGATGATAATGGTTTTGCTTATCGTCGTTTTCTTGAATGGATTCAACCACAACGTCATGATCCTCTTCGTTATAATATTTTACAAGAAGAACTTAAAAGTTTGAATAAACAAAAAGTTTTATCTGATATAAAATCATTAACAAGTATTCAAGATATTTTACAAAAAATTAAAGGACAAGTAAAAATATTTATTTATTTTTTTCTATTATCTAACTATCTGTTCGACTAATTATTACAAAAAAAAAAATAATGAACTTGTTTTTTAAAGGTATTTCGTCGTCGTATACGTCTATATGAGTGGCTTAAAGATCATGATAAATTAAATTGTGGTCGATTATCTTTTGATACATTTCGTCGTGCTATAAATCCATGTCAATTAGAATTAACAGAAAGTGAATTATCTTTACTTGAAGATTAGTAAGTTGATCTTTTTCTCTAGCACTTTGTAAAGCAATTATTTTAACTGTATTACATTGTTTATATAATTCTTCAATGATATTTGCATCGAGAATATCATTTACAAATAAGACGCTTCAAATTTGAAGTTTCCACACCATTTTATTTTTGACTCATTTATATATCCCATTCCTTAGAATTTTTCGAGTGGATTATGAATATCTAGTTGAAACTATTTTTTCTTACTTAGCATGAAAAACTGCATATTATAAACTGCGTGTGAAAGTTCTAGTATAAAAAAAATTTTCTTCAGCTTCAGATGGACTCGAAGGATATCCAAGCCCTCCGAGCCTAATTTTGTAAATCTATCTAGTTTTTTGGTTCAATAGATGTAATCATATGTCGTATACATTTAGAACCACTATCTAAGGAAGAACAAAAGTATGCTCTCCTTTTTCCGAAATTCTTCGTTGTTCTTGAGGTAATTGTATTATATTGAAATGTAGGTACTCTTACTCTAAAATCAGACAAATTATGTCTTGAAAACTTTTTTATTTTCATCTAAAGCGAAAAACTAACATGATATTCTGAATCAGCATCAAAAACGGAGTGAATCAATCTATATATTAAATATTTTTAGAAACTTTTTCTTATGACGAAAAATTTAACCCTGGTCCCCCTTAGCGATTGTCGAGAAATGAATTTCTACAAAACGCTGTTTTTATTATCTAATAATCTACCCTTTCGATTGCTATTATCTTTTTTGAACATTCGAACTCGATTCTCATTGTTGAAATGATGTTTTGAAGAAATCCCTGATGGGGATTAGAGGTAAATTTTTCGTTAAAAAAAAAGTTTGTGAAAATATTTGAAATATAAGTTGATCTACTCAGTTTTTGATGTTGATCCAGAATATCAGGTTAGTTTTCATTTTGGATGAAAAATCAATAAAAAAAAAAACTATTTCGAGACATGATTGGTCGATTTTAGGGTAAGATTGCCCAAATTTCAATATGGAACGGATATCTCAAGAACAATGAAGAATTTCGAAAAAAGGAGAACGTACTTTTATTCTTCTTTAGATGACGATTTTAATTGTATACGACATATCGATATATCTATTGAACTAAAAAAACTAGACAGGTTTACAAAATTAGGTTCGGAGAACTTGGACACCTTTCGAGCCCATCTAATCCTGAGAAAATTTTTTTATACTAGAACTTTCATAGATAGTTTAGAATTCTGAATCCGATGGGCTACTCCCACAAAAGATTAATTAATGAATTCAAAATTTTGATTGGTCAGGTTCAACAAATTTTAATCAGTCGGGTCCGAATCGAAAAATTCTTGAACTCGATGAGCTCGATCGACCGGTAATTGGTACCGGTTCCATCTCTGGTATTCACTGTAGGAAGGTTAGATCTTTTCTAAAAGCAAATTTTTTCACAAGGAATGGACGCGTTTTCTAGATAAAAAAGTAACCGTTGTTAAAATATAGTAAAACTTCTTTGTCGCGGACATCATTGGAGACTTTTCTAAAGTATTCCCTATAAACCTAGATAAGAGTGTCCACTATAGGAGGTTTTACTGTATGTTTAAATTAACAGGCTTTGTCTAAACAAATTCCGAGAACTCGAGGTTCAAGGAGAGAAAGTATTCAGTCAATTTTGAACAGGGAGCAGGGGAAGTTAAAGAATGCGATTTTCACCTGGATGTCATTTTATGGATGACTTCTATTCTATTTTTGACAAAAAAACTACTGTCTGTTTTCATTACTATGTTTGATTTTTTTTCTAGCTATCGATCACGTGTTGATGTTGATGCTATTGAGTATAAAAAATTCTGTGATGAAATTGAATCAATATTTACAACAGATGCTTTGGAAAAAAATCCACTTGTTAATGCTGAACAGTATGTAGCAATTAAAGATGCAACAAATATTCATTTAGATTCAGATAAACAAGATCGAGTGACAAATCTTATGGATAAAATGGCAAAACGTGTAAGTTTAATAGTCATATTTTTATTTATTTATTTAATAAACAAAAATAAAAACATTTATTTTTATATCTCTAATAAAAAAAAACAAAAACAAAAGGTTCATTCACGTCGTATACAATTATTTCCATTATTTGAAGATTTTGATCGTGTTCGTAATGGTCATGTTACACAAAATCAATTTTTACGTGTATTAAATGATCTTGGTTTATTAAAATTATTAAATGGTTTTGAAAAAGATAATTTATTAGAAAAATTTCGTGTTAGAGTTGGTGGGCGTGATGATATTGATTATATCACTTTTTGTCATGAACTCAATGCTTTAGCTGGTTTTGAAGCTGGAATACCATAACATAAACAAAAATTTTTAGATTGGTGTTTTTTTGACCTTGGAATAAGGACACATATGATTTCACATATTTAATTTTATTCTTTTGAGCAAACGAAAAATAAAACGAAAAGATCTCCATTTGAAGTTACATTTGTCGATTTTTGATATAAACCATTCAGATATGATTCTTTTTCTGATATGATCAGCCTCTAATATATATGACACAATTAAGAAGGTGGTGGCAGAGATGTCCATGGCGGCGCGACAGCGACAGCATTTTTTTGTTTTTGGAGGACATTGAAAAACTGCATGAATTTAATAGAATTTCAGAGTTCACAAATGAAACACCCTGAGACTGGATGGATCCGATGCACTAGTACCAATATTTCTGGTCAACTACAGTTACAGCAGTGAAATTAGAAACACTTTTTAAAAAACCATCGCGGCAGATTTTCAGCCGCGATGGATTTGAGTGTGAGTATGAGTGTCTGAATTTAAGTCTTCTCTTCATTAACACCCACACCTATTACGACGTTCTGCTCAGCACTATAATATCTAGCAACTAACTAAAAAAAATTAGGTTTTTTAGTGACCAATGAGTTCGATTCAATTACGGGTCTAAAATTCTGTGGTCCGGTAGTCCTATTAAGCACTTCGCTTTTACGTTGGCACTTATTTCATACTAGTAATAATTATTCTAAAAGACTACACCACTTCTAATGAAGATCTAAGTAGTCTGCTAAGTGCTATGACGTCTTGTTCAGCACTATGTCGTCTTGCTGAATATTATGACGCTCTGCTCAGCATTATGTCGTCCTGCTGAATGCTGTGTCACTCTGATAAGCAGTATGCTATCCTGCTGAGTACTATATTAACTTCTTTTAACAGGAAAGAATTCGAGCATAAACTACTTAAGAAAATTCTTTGAAAAGTTGTTATATCATATGAATTTGAATTGTTTCCATGCTAATAATGTGAATCATTGTATGATGATGAATATTAATCATAGAAATCTTGTTGTCGAGTTCTAAATAAATAAAACTCATTTTATACTAGTAATAATTGACATTCAATTGTTTGTATTAGAAACAAAAAATATAAGAAAATTCGTCAAAAAAAAAATAAAGCAACACAAGTTATTTTATACTATATCCATTTACCTTACCATATTGAACGATAAGAAAAATGATCTTATTATCTGTAATAAGTAAAGTGAAAGCAAAACATTTAGAAACGCAGTGTTTTTAACTTCTTTTATTAACGATAATAACTACTATTCATTTCAAAATAAGGTGTGCTCTATTGTTTTTTGAATAAATTTTGATAGCAATATCACAGAGACCTGCAGTTTTCACCATTCAAGGGCGAAGGCCCGAAGCCATCGAAATATATCAAAATTTCATTGGCTAATTGGATAAGTTCTTGGCGAGAATTTTAAAAGGTTCCGGATCTTCTCTCTTGAATGGTGAAAGCCGATGATCTCTATGATGTTTCTATCAAAAGTTATTCAAAAAAAAAACAATGGAGCACATTATATTTTGAAATGAGAAGTAGAACAAATCAAAGAATTATTAAAACATTTTTTTTTAAATTGGCATTAGCTCTTTCTGATTTTCGTTGAGCTTTTTCATAATTATCTCTTAGTTCAGTCATTGTTTGACGAATAGTTGACTTATATTAGAAATAAATCAATAAATAAATAAATAGAAATAAAATAAATAAATACTTGTTTATCTCTAGCTTGTTCAATAATTTTTTAAAATTGTTCAAGCCATTCTTTTCTTTTTGAATCAATAAAGCACCATTTGTTCTATATAGAGAACGATAACAATGTGCAACATCACTCAAACGAAATTCTTTCAATGATTTTGATACATCATTATCAATACTTTTATTTAACTAAACATTTGTTTTATTATTTTTTGTTTTTTTTTTAATTTAAGTATTTAACTTACAAAATCTTTGTCTGTTTTCCAGGGTGTGGGTGTGGGTATGCACATGAGTAGAGAGTGTGGGTGACAAGAAGAACCACACAGATACCCGCACCCACATCCTTCTGTTTAATTAGGAATATGGAATTCATTTAAAGAGATCAGTTAGGTTCAAAAACTTATTCTGACAGGTCTAGGTTTATTTTAAACTTGTTGTTTTTTTGTTTAAGTTTAAGAAATTCCTATTTGAATTAATTCGAATCGAATTGATTTGCATTTAAAATCGATCTAAATGTAAAAAGTATATTCAACTTGACTTTATTAAATTATTATGGATGAAAGTAGGATTAAAAGTTATTCAAGCTTGATTTATAATAAAAAGGCATCTAAATTAGAATGTGAAAATGTTTTTATTAAAGTAAGATCGGATTTTGAAAAAAAAAGAAATATTTTAAATTCAGAATAAATTGATGAAATGAAGGACGTACAATTGTTTTATCAAACGCTCATATTCAACTTATTATTTTATTAAACATTATTCCAAGAATGTCTTTGAAATTTCGTTCGATCGAGAAAGAAATGTTTTTGCATAAAAAATCGTTTTGTGCTTATTTGAGTACAATGGCGTTCGTATGCATTGTGTTAAGTCTTATTGATATATTTTTATATTTTAGACTTTGTATTGTTGAAATTTCATATTAATAATTGGCACAACAGAAATCATATATCGTTTTCGATTGTCAATTTTATATTTTGAATGTGTAATTTAAAGAATGTATATTATGAATACAATAAATAGAATGAAATTTTATTATGAGAAAGATAAAAGACTGTTTTAATCTATTTTGAATAATACATAAGCCAAATGTTGTATTCCTTGATTTGTTGATTTAAATTAACTTAAGACTCTGTTCAATAATAAAAACTAATATGAATCTTACTGAATTATAATCTTTGATGCATTAATAAAACATTTCATGGCTACAACTTCAATTTGATTCTGTGTATTTATTTATTTTTAAAGAAATAAATATAGAATTGATAAGTGAAAAGATATTGTTGTACAGTATTATTCTATAGTTCATTAACTAATTTACAAGATTTCTTGATTATGAAATTCGTTATTCAATAGATCAAATTTCATTAATATGTATTTTAGAAAGTATCAATGAATAAATAGTATTTAAATGATTTTTGACATATAACTTGAAATCGTCTTTGTGCGTTCCGATGATTAAAAGTCAGATTCATAACATCCTATACTTACTTCTATTTAATCAATTTTTTTTCGAAATATATAACATTAAGTGTTGCTACGTAGTTCTCAATTCGGTCTAAATGAGAAAGTTAATTTCGGTTTCGAAATTTAGGATTAGTTATAAATTATAACAACATAATCCCATTAATATGGAAGAATATCACTGGCTTTATTTCGTTCTTTTATATAAAAAAAAGTTAATAATAATAGTTTCATTACGAATAGTAGAAGAACATCAATAGTAACATTTTATCTATGTTTTCATCGCCTTCGCACGATATTAAACCCTAAATTGACCAAAAAAATGAACCTACTAATACAGAAATTCATCATATATTTTCAAACAACGATGTATATTGACCTGTTTCTATGTATACAAACACTTATGGCAATATAAGGTGAGAACAAGAGAAACTCTTAGATATCATAAAAAGAAAGCAAGGCATGACATTATTTATTAAGTTTTTTTTGTAATGAATTGCTTTTTATTTTGCTTTCTGTTGACAATAAAGATAACGACTAGTTTAACAAAAAGTGAAGCACTTAAAATGAAACAAAACTCAGAGAGAATGAATATCACGTCTAGATAGAGTTTTTAGAGTTATATTTGTAAAGAAGTTTTGAGTGGTGCTGAAAGTTGTATGATTAAAATTGCATTGATGTTGTCATTTGTCCTTGAACTCTACTCAGTAAAGATTATAATGCAAGCTTAGTATGTCAATTTCCTTCAAACCAAAAATTAAGACAACAGAATAATGAAGATGTGCGTGTAGGTGAGCTTGTTTTCATAGACATCAACAATCTACACCTTAGCTCATAATTTACTCATTACTACTTGTATTCTATCTTACTTTGTGGTCTATCCGATATAGTTAACGTGTCTAAATCGATTATAGAGAAAAAACAATCTAGAATATCCTATTGTTTCTATTCAAAAATGTTTCAATAAATAATATTAGAAGATAAAATCGAAAAATATTTTCTCATTGTAGAAAATTAAGATGGAATTGATCGGTATTTCTTCAGAAACTAACTATATGTAATATGAATTTGAAAAAGATTCAACACATTACTATATTTTTTATTGAAGTAAATCTAATTCAGATCAATAACGAAACTATTTCGATGAAACAAAAAATAGTTTTTTCAATGATGTAAAATGATGAATTATTTTCAATGTCATATCAGAATAGTTATCAATATATTTATTTTTGACTTTTATGGAACAAAAACCTTTCGAATGAATTCTTAGCTATTTTTATAATTGATTTATCATTTGGAAATTTGTCTTTTTCGAAGTGTTTCGAAGGAATCTCATACCTTTGATGCATTATTCTAGCACTTATATCACAAACACTCTACACTTATGACATTAATATGTCATCCATGAAAATGTTGAGTGTTTTTAAGAATAATGAGTGAGTGAGATTGAACATATAAATACGTTCCTCACTTCAATATCAATAATCTCCGTAAACACTTATTTCAAGAGCATGTTGAACTTGATTTCAATGTTCAACAACATCATTTGTGTTCATATGTTAGATTACGTAAATCAAAATATGATTGTGATACAGTAGAAAAAAAAACAAAAATAACAGTATTGAATTTTATCATTAAATGAGCTGTGTGATTTTCGTCAGAGAAAAATGTAAAATATAAGCTGTACACAAAGAGAAGTTTGTGACAGATCAGTACATATATATGTCTAAATTAAAATTATTCTTCCGTAAAAACTTTCTATAATACATAATTGAATTTTTATATCATCTTCGTAATCATCAACTCTATTTTTTTTACTATTGATTCGACTTATATAAATGGTAAAAACC